CTTACAGATACAGCAAATTAAGAAAACGCCCACAACTATGAGCACAACTGCAACGCCGATCGCTATCAACATTATCTCCCACCACGTCATCCCCGCTAACAGCCATTCGTCACTACCGTTGCCTACTGTAAGTGAATATGCAGTTTTAGATTGTGGTCATTATTTTATACAACGTGTTAATCAAATGACAAATAAAGCCCATATAATTGTTAGTAACATAGATGTAATTTTGTACACTAAAAATCAAATAAAATCATTAAAATCATAGTTTTTCAATCAAAAAAAGTAACTAAAACTTATGGTAATAAAGAAAGTATCCAATAATCCGATGCCATGCAAGTCATGCGAGAATAGACTGTGCTTTAAGGAGCCGAAGAAGAGATAGCGATAGGATAAGGCAAAGGGAGCAATACCTTCAGCAATGCTAACATCACTTGCATAAGCGGTTGTGCTTTGAATTATTACATTACTTTTGATAAAAGCCATCACTATATTGGAGACAACGCTGGGATGTTTTAGGATAAGGCAAAGGGAGCAATACCTTCAGCAATGCTAACATCACTTGCATAAGCGGTTGTGCTTTGAATTATTACATTACTTTTGATAAAAGCCATCACTATATTGGAGACAACGCTGGGATGTTTGTCCGCATCAAACGCTCTGAACGCTAAATAATAGACTCCACCGGCGTTTGAATTGATACGAATCTGAGATCTCTGAGGCTTTCCGTAGCCGTCGGCCAGTGTGTCGACCGACACATCGATGTCCGCGCCGTCAGTCTTCTCAAAATCACTTCTAATGTCTTCGAGTAGTTTTTGGTCGTCTTTATAGTTGTCTTTCTGGACAAACGCTTTGATGTCATACTTATTAACAAAACCCGCGGTATAGTCACCGCCCGGAGACGTCCACAACAAGTTGACGGTTCGGTTGTCGTATTCGGCGCTCTCTATCCGCAAATCTCGGACAGCACTCGGAGGGTATTCCGACGCTACGAACGTATCGGTCACATACAGTGTCCCGCACTCCACACGACGGACCAGTTTTGTCTGACTCGGAACCGATTCCCGGGTGCCGTCTACTCGAGAACCACAGCACGTCTTCGCCGTAGACTTAATTGGCAACGAAGTGCTGCCAAACTCTTTGGTCACTTCGATTGAATCCGTATCGCTGGTGATCTCAGCGCTGATCGTGAAGTAGGCCTGAGTGCCGATGTCTGTCACATAAGTGGAGTAAATGCCGTCGCCTTTGGTTATGTCGGGATCTCCTAATCCGTCGTCAACCAGTTCTGGGCCAGTCTTGGGCTGATTGTCGAACTCACTTACGATAATCAATTTGACGGTCACTCCCGATACAAGTTCGTCCACTTTTCTATTCACGTTGACGTAAGCCATCACAGGTTTATTACCGACTTCTTTCGGGTTATATTCCACTGTATTGAGCCAACACTGGCCTGTGATAGGGTTGTCGTTGTTGTTCAATGATTTTGTTTCAAACTCAGCGATCGCTAACAATGGCTCCAATGATTTGCCCGGTGAATCCGCTTTTCGCTTGGCTGTTAGATGCCATTTACCGATTTGGTCAGAGCTACCGATTGTGACACTAAAACCTTGAATGTAACCCATTGTGTCCGCATAATTAACTTTGGTTACGCTGCCGGGTGTGACCAATTGAATGGTGTCTTGTAAGGGATCTGTATTGACGCGTGTATCCAATCGCATAAAATACACCCTTAAGTGTGCTTCATGTAGTGAATTATCGACAGCAAATTCAAAATCAATTTCTGGCGTTTGATCGTCAATATATTTCTCAGCTATAGTTTGGAAATTATTGGTCAGACTTGTGAATGCTTTAAGGAAATGACTGGCAGTCCACGGAGTGTCGTCTCTTTTAACATAAGTCACTCGACCATTGGTTATATGAGCGGCAGTTTTGAGCACTTCTGATGCTGTGATCCGATTGTCTTTCGAGTCGAATGGAAACACAATTAGATTTAATTTGATGTTTTTGTTTCTCAATTTTGTGGCCAATTCGACCACTTTTGATACGGGAGTCTCTATCTTATCGCCGGCGATCACTATAACAAATACACCGCCAGTGCTCTTAGCATCGAAAAAAGTTAGACCATGGTTTATAATAGTCTCTAAATTGACCGAATCTAGTGCTTTATCCGAATTGAGTTTCAACATAGCTAATCTAGAGGCTTGAATCCAATTAACATCATCAAACTTATTATCTTTATTGATTACAGTTCGGGCGACCATAGAATCAGGCAAATCTGCACCATATTTGATCATGGCTAATTTTATCAAATTATACTGATTAGTTGAATGCATTGAATTGGCGTTTTGTATGGCAAATAATGTATGCAATTGATCGGTTTGTTTAACAATATTAAATGTGATTCCACTGTTTGCCTCACGATATAAAGAGTTTTTGCTGTATTTATTGGAGAGAATATATTTGTATATAAATTAATATGCAATGCAATGAATGCAAACATCATTTTGTTTGGGAATAAATTTGAAACCTATTATTGTAGCAATTTATTTGAACATTTATTTCCCTATCACTAACATTACACTGACATTACAATAGAGTACAAGTGGTGTATTGGAAATCTGTGTGACTCTATCCCTGATGTTCCTCAACATCTAATGCCAGCTCTCACTCACACACACAGCGAGAGATTACTGGGAAATGC